TCACGGAACCTGGGTATAATTAACAGTGGTTAATTGACTACACGCATTCAACTGTTTGTTTATTTGCTAAGTGAGCTTAAATTTCCTAAAACTCTGACCAATTTAGCTGCATAATTTAAATCAATACAAATGGTCTATAACGTAACTAGCCTATCTATCTATACAGTGTGGTAGAAAAGTCCCGGAACGGTTTAACTTAATATATTTTTTACCAATATAGATAAACAAATAGACTTGGTTTATAAATTATAGCCATAACTGTCTCTTTTAAGGTACTAAAACTTTTTTTATCCCTAAAGGGGGACGGCCCACGTGGAGTCAGAAAAAAATTTTAGAGAGCAGCATAGGTCGAGTTTGGTATCTGATTGAAGATCTTTGTTAGTAGAACACGTTGCCGCAAACCCGAACTCAAATGGAAAATTTAGTCAAAAATGGTAGCCTTTCAAATATTTCTTAAATCTGCCATTTTGAATCTCTGAGTGGCTGCCATTTTTTACTCACTATTACTATTGAGCTCGAATTTGCGTTATTGCATTCTACTATTTAATACCTTTAATTTGTTGTGCATATAGAGCTATGCTTACGTTAACGATTTTCTTCCTAATTTAACCCTTTGAGGAGGTAGCGTAATAATATCATTGCAAATTTAATGAATCTTTGAACAGCTTTCATTGTTTACTTAGTTGTCCTTTTGAGTTTGGGTTTGCGGCAATGTGTTCTAATAACTAAGACCTTTAATTAGATACCAAACTCGACCTATGCTGCTATTTAAGAATTTAATCTGACTTCTAGTGGGCCGTCCCCATTAAGGGGTAAAAAAGTGATAATAGCTTAAAAAGTAGACATTTATGACTTTTATTGACATATCAAATCTCATTACTTTATCTGTATTGGTAAAAACTATATTAAACCGTTCAGGGACTTTTCTACCACACTGTATATTTAATAGGCAAGCATGTTTCTTTAAAACCTTTTTTCTCAGCTCGTGTAGATCGCAGGGAAATCTACGCATACTGTTGGAAGGATACTTTCCTGTAGATGTGCAGAATCCCTTTATAAATTAAAATAGGCTAATATAAATAAAAAATAAGCACACGAAAATAATAAAAAATACCCCCGCCGCAGCAAACCTGCAGACTAAGCGAATTTCCATTTGACTGATTGGATTTACACTGAAATGTCTACTTAAAAATATAACATTTATTCCCTATTTAAATAGAATTAGTTTAACAAGTACTTAGGTTTGCTGCATCAGGGAGGGTAAAACTGTGTTTTTAAATGTTAATAGTTAGTAAGAAATCAAAACATTTTCCAAATTTGATCAAAATATGTTCATAAAAAAGCAAACTACAACAGTTTACTCATTCTCCATAAAAATAACATAGGAATTTTAAATTTACAATTTTTTGGAATTTTCTCCGTAACCATTAGGCGCATAATAACGTTTCAATATACTAAATTATTTGTTTTTTGAAGCTCTACAAAATGGTTTGGAAATAAATTGCTAAATTTTATGTTTTTTGGGTCAAAAATGGGAAAAACCTATTTTTACCCCATAAAACCCCCCGTAAACATCCGTTCCCATGGTCCGATCATGCTGGATCGCGAACTCGTTCGAATAAACGTAGGTTTACACGTTTGTACCAAATTTCATCAAAATCGGATCATTTTTGCTCGAGTTATCGTGCTGACGGACACATATATATATATATATATAAATATATAAATATATATATATATGAATTTGAACGGATGGTTTTTTTGGCCTCTAGGGACCTCAAAACGAAAAAAAAAGTCGGTCCCGCGTCCAGGTCTTACCATGAGTACTACGGTAATAGCTTATTCCCTATATGGGAAATTCGCTAAAATAAGTTGTAAATAAAAAAATGGGTTGTCATCCTGGTGACGAAATAACAACGAAATATAAACAGAAAATCAAAACAAATGGAAGAAATTCCAATCACATGTTTTATTTACAGTGTGGGGTGAAAATATTTGAAAACTGTACATTACATATTTTTGGTCAAGTTTTCGACCACTTGACGACCTCTTGCTTATTTGATTGGAAACTTTTTTTTGTCTACACTAATTTGAGAGAAGAGAACGGCTTGGCGTAGAAAATTGGTACAGGTGTGTAAAGGTCTTGGTCAGGTGATATGGAACGCCTGTGGCCTGTCCAGGCAACGGAACGCTCTCCACTATTTTCTTTCAGAGCTTGACGCAGACGTAGTCCTGGTGAGCGAGACCCATCTCACCCCAGATGCCAACTTCCGAATTCCAGCCTACACCACCTACCGAACCGACCGACCACCGAGACCGCACGGCCGAAACCCCGGAGGGGGAACTGCTGTGCTAGTACACCGCCGGGTAACTCACCACCACTCAGTTACTGCCACGGGTGCAATGGAGACGACAGGTATAACTATACAGTTAGGGGGACAGGAGGTACTACTTGTTGCTGCATACCAACCACCAGGACGACACCGCTTAGATGAGCCTACCTTGTCAGCAGTGCTGGCAACAGCTGGACCAGTTTTCATCGCAGGTGACCTAAACGCAAAGCATGCATCCTGGAATTCCCGCTACCCGAACCCTAGAGGCGCATCACTCAGAACGTTCCTGGACCGGCATGGGGACGTCTACGCCGCTGCTCCAGACGAGCCAACATTTCACCCTTCAAACCACGCTCACAGGCCGGACGTACTAGACTTGGCTATCTGTAAGGAATTTCCGTTTCAGGTGGGTATATCCTGCATCGAGGCCCTGTCATCTGACCATTCAGTCATCCTTTACTCGATAGACGCAACCCCGTCCACGAGATCGCCCATGACCACCAGCATGATTAGGACGGACTGGGTGCTGTTCCAGCAGCTAGTGAACGAGAGAATGGGCCCTCCTTCTGCTCCTTCGACCAGGGAAGAACTGGATGAGCATGTTAGTTCTATGCATGAAATCCTCACCTCTTCAATCTCAGACGCTTCCCGCTCGGCGACTTCGGGCCCGGTGCGGCAAACTCTGCCGATGCATGTTCGTAGAGAGATCACTTTTAGAAATGCCCTCCGAAGGAGATGGAAGGCCAACAGGAACCCGAGGACAAAGAGGGAGCTCAACAGACAAAATACGGTGGTATCGGAGCTAATTGACAATTTCAGGACTACAACATGGGACCAGTTCCTCTGCACCCTCTCCACAGAAGGAGGTAGCGTGTGGAGGGCAGCCAAGCAGATTCGAGGTATAAAGGTTAAATCTCAGCCACTTCATGGACAACACGCTGTGGTCTACGAGGCGCAGGATAAGGCTGAAACCTTTGCCAACACTATGCATGACCAGTTCCAAACCAACCCGGACATATTCGACGAGAGGACGGAAGTCAGAGTGGAGTCCTTCATGGAGAACTTCTTTGAGGAGGAACCTGGAGATGAGTTGGATCCTTTCACCTTACAGAAAGTCCCGGAAGCAGTGGGACGGTTGCGGCCGCGGAAGGCTCCAGGATTAGACCGAATCGGGACAAAGGCCATCCAGTCGGCCTCCCCAGCCATCTGCATGCACCTCCAGCTCCTTTTTAATTCCGCTCTTAGGTTCCGACACTTTCCGGCCTGCTGGAAGTCGGCGAAGATCATCCTCATACCTAAACCTGGGAAGGACCACCTGTTTCCCCAAAACCATAGGCCGATCTCCCTTCTCCCGGTCATTTCCAAAATCTTTTAACGACTTTTCCTCACCAGAATAGCTCCCTTCCTCGATGGCTACATCAGACCGGAGCAGTTTGGGTTTCGGCGGGGACACTCAACAACTCAGCAGCTCATACGGGTCCTCAACATGCTGGTAGACAACCATAATCTAAACTTGTGCTCCGTCGGAGTCCTCCTAGACGTCAGCAAGGCATTCGACAAAGTATGGCACGAAGGTCTCCTCTATAAGCTCAGTCAGTCACCCATCCCCGAGTCTGCTGTTCACCTGCTTAAATCTTACCTTCAGGAAAGATCGTTCCAAGCGTTCGTCGAGGGTAAGCTGTCCACAGTTCGACCAGTCGAGGCCGGAGTCCCCCAAGGCAGCGTTCTAGGCCCAGTCCTTTACCTAATCTACACAAATGACATGCCGACAATCCCACGTGTGACCCTGTCACTTTACGCAGACGACGCTCTCTTGCAATGTCGGAGCTGTCGACCAACCCAGGCCGCAAGGACCATGCAGAGACAGATGGACGCCCTATCACCATGGCTGCAGAAATGGAGGGTAAAGGTTAATGCCGACAAAAGCAATGCCATTTGTTTCAGGAAACGTAGAAGGATGCCTGGGGCAGCCATACCAGAAATCGAGCTTGATGGGGTGCAAATACCCTGGCAGAACACGGTGAAGTATTTAGGTGTTACACTAGACTCTAAGCTACGATTCGGGGACCACGTGAGGAAGAAAGTCAGCGAGGCAACTGCCATCCAAGCGATGCTTTGGCCGATGATCGCCCCGAGGACTCCTCTGCCACTTAGCACTAAGATTTGCATGTTCCTGCTCATAGTCCGCTCCTGCATGATGTACGCCTCAGAAGCTTGGTGGGCCCTGGCCAGCAGGACACACAGGAAGCGGCTGGAGGTCATCCAATCGAAAGCGCTCAGACGCATCACCCGCCAACCATGGTTTGTCAGCAACGCTACCATCAGAAACTCTTTAGGAATCCCAAGTCTGGAGGAGTTCACGGTCCGGAAGGCAAGCCGTTTGTTCCAAAAAGCGGCGCAATCGGAACACGACCACATTTCCGACCTTTGCAGGCGTTATGACATAGCCGAGGACTGGAGACCCCGGCCTGCAGCCGTCCTGGATGATCCACCGTAACAGAGTCACCACGCCCCGACACACACCGGGTACGTCGAGCCCAGCTCCGGCCCATTGCATACCAGGTCAAGCTAGTTTTTAAAACCTGTTAGAAATTTCACGCACAGCAAGTCAGTCAGAAATACAGTAGACCTATGTCAGTTATTCAACAAACACGGCTAAGTCTTGTTTCAGATACTCCAAGATTCATTCCGGCAGCAGAGACGTGTCATCTCGCTGTGATCGCCCTCCCACATAAGTGAGTGGAGGGGGGAGGTGCTTTTAGTGGGTATACCAGAACTGGTGAGTCCCACACTACCCTCAAGGACTGAGGGTGTGCCTAATGCATTTTACACCTCCCTAACAAAAAAAAAAAACAAAAAAAAAAGTGATGGGTCTTGGCAATGAATACATACCACTGGTCTTGGTCTGTAGATGAGCCATCAAAAGAGAAACAAGGTCAATTCCCTTGGGGCTCTGTAGCAGCGGCCTTTATATTTACCTTCCCATGTATTTCTTATAGAGAAAAGAAGTAGTATTTTCCCCCCCACTAATTTTGGAGAACGGTTAGGCTTACAAACTTGGTAGAGGTGTTGTAGAGGTAGAGGTCTGTAGAAAAGCTATCAACAGAGAAACTAGGTCAATCCTTGGGGCTCTGTCCCAGTGGCCTTTTAAGAGAAACGATTTGTCTATATTATGAAACAGCTATTGGTATTTAAATTACAAGAAACCCTCTACTGTACTTGTTTTCTCGACCACATTCAAAGATAATTTATGAAACTCATCTAGACGAATGTCCGAGATTCGTGAGATTATTGGCATACATGTTTTTTGATCATTGGATGGAATATTACAGTAGTACTCATGGTAAGACCTGGACCCGGGACCGATTTACTTTAACGTTTTGAGGTCCCCAGAGGCCAAAAACACCATTCGTCCAAATTCATAGATGTGATATATATGTCATATATATATATATGTCATATATATATAAATTCAAATCATATATATGTCCGTCAGCACGATAACTCGAGCAAAAATGATCAGATTTTGATGGAATTTGATATAAATGAGTAAACCTACATTTATTCGGACGAGTTCGTGAACCAGCATGATTGGACTATGGAAACGGAGGTTTATGGAGGGATTTTATGGGGTAAAAATTGGGGTTTCTCATTTTTGACCCTAAAAACATAAAATTTTGCAATTTCGTTATTGCCCACTTGGTAGAGCTAAAAAACAAAAAAAAAAAAATGTGTATTGCGCCAAATAGTTACGGAGAAAATGTCTAAAAATTATAAATTAAAAATTTCCATGTTATTCTTATGGAGAATAAGTAAACTGTTGTAGTTTGTTTGTTTATGAACATACAGTATTTTGATCAAATTTGGAAGCTATTTTTCACCACACTTTACCCTATTACCACTATAATCACCACAATCATAATGCACACTGATAGTCAACACAACTACAACCTTAAGGTTATGTAAAGAGATAATTTGAGGAATCAGCGAAAAAAAAATAGTTGTTAGGCAGTGGTAACAATAAAACAATTCTATTGCAATGCCATAGATACGTAAGCGGGCAGCTGATTTTGCGGACCTAGGGATGTCTTGCTCGCTGGTAAAAACCTGCTCGGTCCCCAAATGACGATGACAGCTGGCATGGCCAGCAAAACGTAACTTTCAGCCACCAGTTAACGTATGTAAAACAGCTAAAAACATCATTGTGTGGGGAAAAATGAATTTATTTCATATTAAACTATTAACATAAAAAATCACTTTTTACCATTCCTGTTGCAGCAAATCTAAGTACTCTTTTAACTAATGCTATTAAAATCAGGAATAAATGTGATATTTTTAAGGAGATATTTTAGAGTTAATTCAATCAGGCAAATGGAAATTTGCTTAGTCTGCAGGTTTGCTGTGGCGGAGGTATTGTGTAATACAATAAAAACCACAAATACTTGAACAGACACGGTACCGATATGGATCATAAACACAAACAAATGGTGTTACTGGTCCGAAAGTAAACTTTATTTAAAAATGGAACTGTCTAAACCATATATTAATGCTATTAGGTTGTATTAATAGCAAAAGCTATTAGTATAGGATTCGGACCAGAAACGTTATTTTTTATGTTTATGGTCCATAACGGTCCTAGTTAAGTTTTCGTGATAAAAACCATGGAAGTGTGTTCAGGTGAATTACGTGAATTAAAAGAACTGGGTTGAATATCGTCTATTGAATCCGCTGCATGTGGTAAACTTTAATCAAAGCTGACCATACGTATTAAATACCCCCGCAGCAGCAGACCTGCAGACTTAGCGAATTTCCATTAGCCTGATTGAACTTAAACTAAAATGTCTCCATAAAAATATCACATTTATTCCCTATTTAAATAGAATTAGTTTAACGAGTAGGCCTACTTAGGTTTGCTGCAACAGGGAGGGTAATTTTTTTTGTAGAATGTCAATTGTTTAGTAAGAAATGAAACTATTTTCCAAATTCGATCAAAATATGGTCATAAACAAGCAAACTACAACAGCTGACTTATTCTCCATAAGATTAACAAGGGAATTTTAAATTTTATTTTTTTTTTCTCCGTAACCACGAGGCTTACAACACCACTTCAATATGATATTTTTTTGTTTTTTAGCTCTACAAAATGGTGTGGAAAGAAATTATAAAATTTTGTGTTTTTAAGGTCAAAAATGGGAAACCCCTATTTTTACCCCATAAAACCCCCTTCCCATAGTCCAATCATGCTGGTTCGCGAACTCGTTCGAATAAATGTAGGTTTACACGTTTGTATAAAATTACATCAAAATCGGTCCACTTTTGCTCGAGTTATCGTGCTAACGGATATATATATACGAGTAAAAAATCCCAACACAAACATAGATATATATATGAATTTGAACGGATGGTGTTTTTGGTCTCTAGGGACCTAAAAACGAAAAAGTAAATTGGTCCCGGGTCCAGGTCTTAACATGAGTACTACGGTAATAGCTTATTCCCTATACGGGAAATTCGCTAAAAGGCGAAAGTAATAATAATTGCCATAACGATTGCACTGATTTAGCTGTGTCTTTGTGTATGGGAAACGATATGAAGTCATGCAACATTCAGATCGTCATCATTGTATAACGAGTTTGTTCCTACTACAACAAAGTAAATTAATTTTAAAACTTAAGGTTGGTAAACAGCTTGAAAATATTCATAGATATAATTGGGACTAGCATAAGAAATTCTAATACAATCTAGGGATCATCTATTTAACATAATGAACACATTAAGAATGAAATTTTACTCCAAATTACCTAGAGAAAATATATCTCAGCCTATGGCAACCAACCATTCACCGTTAACCTCAAAACTATAAATCAATGTGTTGAAATGCAATGTGTTAGTAAAACCATTGACTATTGAATCAAAGGTAAAACCATAAAACCAACGCAAGTTAGCGTGTAAGATTCCTAATTTATAAATCTTCAGGATTTCAACATTTTTTTTTTATAATTTAAGTAAAATCGCTTACCAGAGCTGTAGTGGTGATGGCGATAACCATGTCCACGCATTGGTTTGGTAGTCAACTTCACACGACCAGTCCAGTGGTACGTTGCCTCCGTCATCAACACTGTCTTTTCTCTGGAAACACATAGAACATTGTCTACAGTAAGCTTAGGTTTGGTAGTCAACATCACACGACCAGTCCAGTGGTACGTTGCCTCCGTCATCAACACTGTCTTTTCTCTGGAAACACATAGAACATTGTCTACAGTAGGCTTAGGTTTGGTAGTCAACTTGACACGACCAGTCCATTGGTACGTTGCCTCCATCATCAACACTGTCTTTTCTCTGGAAACACATAGAACATTGTCTACAGTAGGCTTAGGTTTGGTAGTCAACTTGACACGACCAGTCCAGTGGTACGTTGCCTCCATCATCAACACTGTCTTTTCTGTGGAAACACATAGAACATTGTCTACAGTAAGCTTAGGTTTGGTAGTCAACTTTACACGACCAGTCCATTGGTACGTTGCCTCCATCATCAACACTGTCTTTTCTCTGGAAACACATAGAACATTGTCTACAGTAGGCTTAGGTTTGGTAGTCAACTTGACACGACCAGTCCAGTGGTACGTTGCCTCCGTCATCAACACTGTCTTTTCTGTGGAAACACATAGAACATTGTCTACAGTAAGCTTAGGTTTGGTAGTCAACTTGACACGACCAGTCCAGTGGTACGTTGCCTCCGTCATCAACACTGTCTTTTCTGTGGAAACACATAGAACATTGTCTACAGTAGGCTTAGGTTTGGTAGTCAACTTCATACGACCAGTCCAGTGGGACGTTGCCTCCGTCATCAACACTGTCTTTTCTCTGGAAACACATAGAACATTGTCTACAGTAGGCTAAGGTTTAGTAGTCAACTTCACACAACCAGTCCTACTACGTCCAGTAGTACGTTGCCTCCATAATCATCACTGTCTTCTCTCTACAAAACACATAGAACATTGTCTACAGTAGGCTTAGGTTTGGTAGTCAACTTCACACGACCAGTCCTACTACGTCCAGTAGTACGTTGCCTCCATAATCATCACTGTCTTCTCTCTACAAAACACATAGAACATTGTCTACAGTAGGCTAAGGTTTGGTAGTCAACTTCACACGACCAGTCCTACTACGTCCAGTAGTACGTTGCCTCCATAATCATCACTGTCTTCTCTCTACAAAACACATAGAACATTGTCTACAGTAGGCTAAGATTTGGTAGTCAACTTCACACGACCAGTCCTACTACGTCCAGTAGTACGTTGCCTCCATAATCATCACTGTCTTCTCTCTAAAAAACACATAGAACATTGTCTACAGTAGGCTAAGATTTGGTAGTCAACTTCACACGACCAGTCCTACTACGTCCAGTAGTACGTTGCCTCCATAATCATCACTGTCTTCTCTCTACAAAACACATAGAACAAACTCTACAGTAGGCTTAGGTTTGGTAATCAACTTCACACGACCAGTCCTACTACGTCCAGTAGTACGTTGCCTCCATAATCATCACTGTCTTCTCTCTGCAAACATATAGAACATTGTTTACAGTAGGCTAAGATTTGGTAGTCAACTTCACACGACCAGTCCTACTACGTCCAGTGGTACGTTGCCTCCATAATTATCACTGTCTTCTCTCTGCAAACACATAGAACATTGTTTACAGTAGGCTAAGATTTGGTAGTCAACTTCACACGACCAGTCCTACTACGTCCAGTAGTACGTTGCCTCCATCATCATCACTGTCTTCTCTCTGCAAACATATAGAACATTGTTTACAGTAGGCTAAGATTTGGTAGTCAACTTCACACGACCAGTCCTACTACGTCCAGTGGTACGTTGCCTCTATAATCATCACTGTCTTCTCTCTGCAAACACATAGAACATTGTCTACAGTAGGCTTAGGTTTGGTAGTCAACTTCACACGACCAGTCCTACTACGTCCAGTAGTACGTTGCCTCCATAATCATCACTGTCTTCTCTCTACAAAACACATAGAACATTGTCTACAGTAGGCTAAGGTTTGGTAGTCAACTTCACACGACCAGTCCTACTACGTCCAGTAGTACGTTGCCTCCATAATCATCACTGTCTTCTCTCTACAAAACACATAGAACATTGTCTACAGTAGGCTAAGATTTGGTAGTCAACTTCACACGACCAGTCCTACTACGTCCAGTAGTACGTTGCCTCCATAATCATCACTGTCTTCTCTCTACAAAACACATAGAACATTGTCTACAGTAGGCTAAGATTTGGTAGTCAACTTCACACGACCAGTCCTACTACGTCCAGTAGTACGTTGCCTCCATAATCATCACTGTCTTCTCTCTACAAAACACATAGAACATTGTCTACAGTAGGCTTAGGTTTGGTAGTCAACTTCACACGACCAGTCCTACTACGTCCAGTAGTACGTTGCCTCCATAATCATCACTGTCTTCTCTCTACAAAACACATAGAACATTGTCTACAGTAGGCTAAGGTTTGGTAGTCAACTTCACACGACCAGTCCTACTACGTCCAGTAGTACGTTGCCTCCATAATCATCACTGTCTTCTCTCTACAAAACACATAGAACATTGTCTACAGTAGGCTAAGATTTGGTAGTCAACTTCACACGACCAGTCCTACTACGTCCAGTAGTACGTTGCCTCCATAATCATCACTGTCTTCTCTCTACAAAACACATAGAACATTGTCTACAGTAGGCTAAGATTTGGTAGTCAACTTCACACGACCAGTCCTACTACGTCCAGTAGTACGCTGCCTCCATAATCATCACTGTCTTCTCTCTACAAAACACATAGAACAAACTCTACAGTAGGCTTAGGTTTGGTAATCAACTTCACACGACCAGTCCTACTACGTCCAGTAGTACGTTGCCTCCATCATCATCACTGTCTTCTCTCTGCAAACATATAGAACATTGTTTACAGTAGGCTAAGATTTGGTAGTCAACTTCACACGACCAGTCCTACTACGTCCAGTGGTACGTTGCCTCCATAATCATCACTGTCTTCTCTCTACAAAACACATAGAACATTGTCTACAGTAGGCTAAGGTTTGGTAGTCAACTTCACACGACCAGTCCTACTACGTCCAGTAGTACGTTGCCTCCATAATCATCACTGTCTTCTCTCTACAAAACACATAGAACATTGTCTACAGTAGGCTAAGATTTGGTAGTCAACTTCACACGACCAGTCCTACTACGTCCAGTAGTACGTTGCCTCCATAATCATCACTGTCTTCTCTCTACAAAACACATAGAACATTGTCTACAGTAGGCTTAGGATTGGTAGTCAACTTCACACGACCAGTCCTACTACGTCAAGTGGTACGTTGCCTCCATAATCATCACTGTCTTCTCTCTACCTCTACAAAACACATAGAACATTGTCTACAGTAGGCTTAGGTTTGGTAATCAACTTCACACGACCAGTTGTAACAAATCAATATTTCCACTTATATTTTTCATAGATAATTTAATTTTCACCATAGGTTTTTCATTTTATCAATATGTCAATTTATCAAACGTATAGTATATGACCAAACAGACCAATGGGTAATTGATTCGAAACAATATAATATCGAAAATTTTCAAATAACCTAATTTCATGTAAATATATAATAGCCTATAATTTTTTTTATCAAAATGGCTTCAAATTCAATATAATTTTATTTAAATAACTTTTCAAAATTCAAATATAGCTCTAAGCAAATAAAATTTGTTATAATATATGTGTGAACAGTGGCCTACGATTCTCTGTGATTAAGTCAGCATTGACATATGTGAGTGCAACAATGCATCAAACCTGCATCACTTTCAAAAGAGCTGAGCTAGTATGAAGATGTAATTTGGATATAGTCCAAGCAAACTAAACAAACTTACATAGGGATCGTTAAAAAATTGCAAGAAAACGTTTTATGGTTTTATTTTGTAGAGTTGGGTTTGCAGAATGACATACTAAAAGTTGCCAAAAATCGGTGAACGAGAAAACCACTAAATTCACAATTTAAAATGGCGGCTTTTCCCAACACTGAGCAAATAAAAAAACACATTTCACTTGCATTTGTTATGCACATTTTTCGAGATATTGACTTGGGACCACCACCTGTATTTATTGGGTGGTTAGTACTTCATTTTGATAGGGAACATGTTTTTGGCCGCCATCTTGGATTCGCCATATTGGACATAGATAATTCTTTTCAATGTAATGATAGTGTTGTGACACATCATTACCAACTACAGTTTTACACTGATTTCAATGCCGAAATCCGTTTTTAAATATCTTTATTCATTTAGAAGATATATTCAAACAAAAACCCTCTACCATACATTTCTTATGGACGTTTCGTAGTTTGATAATTGTTTTAAAATTATTTTTCTTATATCTCCAGGTCTTTTGACGCTTGTAGTTCGTTCTAGGCTTAAAATATTCAGTAATGTAAGGGCTTTCATTTGAGCTCTTGATCATTAAAATCAGACGAGTTAAAGACCAGCTACGAACCTCAGAACAATATTAAATTTAACTTTTTAGAAATATATTTTTATTAAAAGATTTATAACTCGGGTTGTTAATACGTCACCAAGTTCTTTCTGGTCTCAAATTACTCAGTGAATGTTTAGCTTTTATTTTATTAATCACTAAACAAAATCTGACAATTTTAAAATGAGTCATGGTTCTTAATTTAACATTAGAATGTATTTATTTTGAAATTTGTCTTGAGTTAAGGACATATCCCAAACCCTAATAACTCCCGGAAAGTAATCCATAGCTAAAATAAAAGTCAATAATTTGGCGAATTATTTAAGACTATAAAGAGTTTTGGGAGTTATTTAGAATTGGGGATATACGTCTTTAACTAAAGACAAATTTCAATATAAATACATTTTAATGTTAAATTATGGTCCATGACTCATTTTAAAATTGTCAGATTTTGTTTAATGATATAAAGTGGGCACATCATCTAAACTTTCACCCTTTTCTACATAAGTAATTTTTCGTTTCTTAGCATTCAAATACCATTCTCTGATTCTAAAAATTCATAATTATTATTGTCTTGTACAAATGTACCACCATCTGTTCGTATTAAAGTCTGTTGTAAAGTGGGCACATCATCTAAACTTTCACCCTTTTCTACATTAGTAATTTTCTGTTTTTTAGCATTCCAATTTTTATTCTTAGATTCTAAAAACTCATATGTAGTTTTACCTTGTAAGAAGACATCACCTTTTCTAGTTAATGTCTGTCCCAAATTTGATACATCATCTACAAACTCCCCATCTTTAACATTACCAATTTTACGGTTTAAACCATTCCAACTATCGTCTTGTAAATTTAAAGTAGGTTCACTACTAGCCCTGGGTTCTGCAGGCTTATTACATGGATTATATAAACGATAAAATTTATCTATAAACATATTTTTATTTAATAAATAATTCCACTTTCTCTCAATTCCTCAATAATGGAATCTATTTCATTATCCACTCCTGAGTTACCGGCTTGGCGACTTAGCCAAAGAAGTCTTAACCTATCTACAAGCTCATTAGGATCATCCCAATAAATATAGTCTATTTTATTACCAGTCACTTGTCTCAAACCTTCACCAACAGATTTAAAAAGAGGTTTAATTATATTAAGATATTTAGTATGTCTATTACTTGAAATTGGTGCACCATCTTTGTAACTCTTTAAATGTCCATTTGTAGCTTCCAAAATTTCTTTATAATTTTGCAAATCAGCCGGAGTATAATCCTCAGGTTCTTTTAAAGTTAACAATTGCCACAAACCTTTTGTCCCCTTGTAGGTTTTATTTGCAATTGTAACATCATCATTGGCAATGTCAACTTCCTTATTTCCAATAAAAAATTTATTTGCTTCTCGTCTAATACCATATGTAGTGTCTGTCATACTACTTTTACTGAGGTAATTTCCTAAATAGTCTGATGCTAAAAGACCAAAATCTAATTTCTGTGGGGTGGATGGTTGTAATGGTTGTAATGGTTGTAATCTTGGTATCATTGATATTCTAGATGGAGTCATTGGGAGTATCTCCATTCGAGGCCTCTCTGATGTGATTTTCTTTAATTCTTGTAATGGCTCTATTAAAGGTTGGAATGTTTGAACATCTCATAAACATCTCATAAGCTTTAGAGACATCTCCATTTTCAAAGTCGAGATTTAAATCACTATAAGGATAATATTCAGAGTTTAGAAATACTTTGAGATTTTTAACTTACAGTGATCAAATTCATCAGTTCTTTTTCGTGCACTATTATCCCTAGCTGTTTGGAAACCAAATATAATATACCTAGGCTTCTCCAAACTTGAAGATGTCTTTACTGACCATGTATGTCTTGTAGTATTGGGATATGATGGAAGTTCATGCAACTCTAAGCTTCTAAATGCAATTTGCAAATTTTTATTTTGCAGTAACATCTTTTGTAATTGTAACTTCTCCCCATCTGATGGTATTACATGTGGCATCACCCATTGAATTGAGTTAAGTGTAATTTTAGGAATCATATCAGCAGTACCACTGGCTGGAGCACTAGTGGTTGTTAATATACAATTCAAATCATTTTTGGATCTTTTCAACACCAATTCTTGTTTGACATTTACTAATACCTTATTAAAATCCTCAAATACACCCATTAACAGTTCTAATGGCAAACAAGTACTAAACTTGCCACTTTTATGGAACTCTTTTAAATTCGTGTCAGAATCAAATGCCACATTTGACAATTTAGTTGTTTTCAATAATTTTGTAGCCAGGAGGAGCTTCTGGATAAAAGCTATGTATGGTGTGTGATTTGTTTCCATTTAAATAGGACCAGTTTGCAATATTACATTTTACTCTAATCACATTTACATTATTAATGTTTATTTTATTTGTAGATTCAAACTGAACACCAGGAGTAGAAACACCTTTAAATCCCAATAAAACAGACCCTAAACATGGTTTTGTAAAATCAAACACGTGGCTAGAAAGTAATGTCGCTTTCATAGTTTTATTATTAGCTGTAAGGAAAAAGTCTGGGATTTGCTTTTGAATTTCCTTTGCAAGCTCAACCACCTCATATGTTCCTTCAGAAATTTCTATTGTAACTGGAGCATTGTGGTCATAATAGAAAACATCATCACCTTCTCCAATGGTTAATTTGTTGCCTTTAAGTTGAGGGCAAGTACATTTGTAAGCTGAGGGAGTAGGGTGATGTCATTTACTATAACATTTTTTGGTACAGAGCCAGAGCTAAAGTCAGTGTTCTTTCCTCCCATAGAATTAAATGATGATTATGTAATTGGATTAGTAGATTAGGTCGAGAGCTAGGTCCTTAAGAAAAGTGGCCAAAAAAGCTCCTAGGGCTTCGGACATTTTTTTCGCCAAAAATTTTAAAAGTTCTGGGCCAAAAAACGCCCCAAGTGACGACTCTTTGCCCTATTGTCACTACTTTACATTTACACTTGTAAGGGTCAATAAATATAAGAAATAGCTTTTTTAGCTTGATATTGAATATTTGATATAGGCTTGTATAGGTCGAGAGCTGGATTTTTAAAAAAGTGGTCAAAAAAAGCTCTCGAAGAAAAAATGCAAAAATGCCAACATATAGCCTCTAAAACGTCTCCAGTGCCCCTATATAATAAACGTCTCCATACCCTCTAAAAATGGGCCAAAAAATGCCGGAAGTGACGACTCTTTGCCATATTGTCACTACTAGCTCAAATGAAAGCCCTTACATTACAGAATATTTTAAGCCTAGAACGAACTACAAGCGTCAATAAGAACTGGAGATATAAGAAAAATAATTTTAAAACCATTATCAAACTACAAAACGTCCATAAGAAATGTATGGTGGAGAGTTTTCGTTTGAATATATCTTCTAAATGAATAAAGATATTTAAAAACGGATTTCAGCATTGAAATCAGTGTAAAAATTTAGTTGGTAATGATGTGTCACAACACTATCGTTACATTGAAAAACATTTTCAATGTCCAATATGGCGGATCCAAGATGGCGGCCAAAAACATGTTCCCTATCAAAACGAAGTACTAACCACCCAATAAATACAGGCGGTGGTCCCAAGTTAACATCTCGAAAAATGTGCATAACAAATGCATGTGAAATATGTTTTTTTAGTTTGTCCAATGTTGGAAAAGCCGCCATTTTTAATTCTGATTTTAGTGGTTTTCTCGTGGCAACTTTTAGTATATCATTCTGCAAACCCAACTTTACAAAATAAAACAATAAAACGTTTTCTTGCAATTTATTTAAGGTCATATCCTATATTTTTCCGACTAATACTACATATCTTAATATCAAAATTTATGAAAAAGTGCCTATATTTGAACCTAAATTATTGAAATTCGATTAAAGAAGAACCGTCCATGTTAAGAACATTAATAATTACTACATCAAGAAATTTACCGTGAAGAAGACATCAATTTTTGGTTAGATCACTCCAGTAGACATTTTCTATACTTGGAAGCCATTAAAACATTTTAGGCCTAACTTTTGAACATTTTGTACCAGAATTTAAAAGTCAAGAAACACTAATCAAGTCATTAATTCAACCAATCAGAAAATAATTTGAACCTATTTTATATTTCAAAACAAAATTTTAATTAGGCTATATAAAATCACAAGATTAAATTCAAATGCCGCTCGATCACCCCACCTGAGATAAAGATCCATGCAATAAATTATAACACCTAAACCTTTAGAACTATTGTAATAGGCTTAGCCTAAAGCTTTCATTATTAAATTCATTCCCCACTCATTGTAAACTGTATTGTGAACCCCTTAATTTCTTTTACCATCAATTTTGTATTTAAATTAAATAAATTTAAGTTTCGATACTGTACATGGAGTTTCCATTGTATTCTTAACTTTAAGGTTGATTACACAGTCCTACTACGTCCAGTGGTACGTTGGCTCTATAATCATCGCTGTCTTCTCTCTGCAAACACATAGAACATTGTCTACAGTATGCTTAGGTTTGGTAATCAATTTCACACGACCAGTCCTACTACGTCCAGTGGTACGTTGGCTCTATAATCATCGCTGTCTTCTCTCTGCAAACACATAGAACATTGTCTACAGTATGCTTAGGTTTGGTAGTCAACTTCACACGACCAGTCCTACTACGTCCAGTGGTACGTTGCCTCTATAATCATCGCTGTCTTCTCTCTGCAAAACACATAGAACATTGTCTACAGTAGGCTTAGGTTTGGTAGTCAACTTCACACGACCAGTCCTACTACGTCCAGTGGTACGTTGCCTCTATAATCATCGCTGTCTTCTCTCTGCAAAACACATAGAACATTGTCTACAGTAGGCTTAGGTTTGGTAGTCAACTTCACACGACCAGTCCTACTACGTCCAGTGGTACGTTGCCTCTATAATCATCGCTGTCTTCTCTCTGCAAAACACATAGAACATTGTCTACAGTAGGCTTATGTTTCGTAGTAAACTTGAAACGACCAGTCCAGTCATACGTCGCCTCCGTCATCATATGGTTTGGATCACACTTTATTCTACACCCATCCATCACTCATAGTTGGGTTAAATTATGCACCTAGGGGTTGCTACCCCATACCTTCACTTCGATCGATAATTATTGATAATTATTGACAAATTATATTTTAACGGGGTTTTAATTGGAATACTTTAGAGAATAAAATGATAGCCTAATTTAATTGTAAAAAACATAAACATGAACTTATTTTAAGTGTTGCACTAACATTCATGTATAATATTTATCCAAATTGTATTGCACATTGCTTTTCATTGTTTCGGTTTTTGTTAATTATCAACAATGTGCTAATGAATGAAACTGGTTTAAGATTTAAAATGTAAAACGACTTTCAAATTTTCCTTGCTTAATGTTTGTATGTTGCTAGAGTAGACATAATTATGTATGTGAGCTATATATTTATTTTTGTGAGTTGACAAAATTTGGCTAGATTTGTTCAGGATTTAGTAGGAGATGTATACAAAAAGCTGTTGAAATACAACCATGCTCAGCTTTTATTCAGACTTAACTTCAAATACGTCCGAGGCGTTGTTATTATTGAATGGTTTATTTTTTCTGATATAGCGTCTGAACTGAGCTTTCAATTAAGGGCTTGAACATGACTATTTGTAGGGTTATTTAATTACAGTTTGATTGTACAGTACCTATACTTAGAGTACTCCCTAGTGGTGTAGGCCTACTACGTACCTTGGTCCAGGCTCACTATGGCACTCAGGGTCGATGTTGACGTCACGGGGGGCAACATGACTCAACCTGCGAGCGCTGCCGGGACTAGAGGCTGCTGCACGCTCCACACGGATCCTATCAGAGTGAGTTACAGAACTGGATAACAATGCACACAGACAATTGCTCTCAATGTTGGCTTTTAGGTTTGGCTACACAAGAGAGGAAACTAAACTGACGGTTTACGGAAAGGAAAGGAAATGACACAAACAAATTCTGGCTCTAGGGCTACACTACACGGGCCTCGGGCTCGGAAAGGTAACTAGCATGACAATTTTCTTTCGGCAGTGCGCAAGTGCAGGTAGCCAAACGATTCCCTACCGACTGCACATTGCAACCGCAAAGTTTCTGTCCCAGTCCTAACAGTTTCCTTCCTTATCTTTCCTACCTAGTGTAGTACAAGGTTGTTGTAATAAACCGATTTTAATAGTAGGATAAAAGAAATATAAGACACTGTTAGAGACCATTTTAATAGACTGGTAGTTTGTTTACACAACAACTTAAACAAACAAACATTACAATATTCAGAATTACATATACAGCTGTTACAGGACTGAGTAAATAATTTTTATCGCAACACAGGTAAACGCCACGACAAAAAAAAAAGCCAATTGAATGTTCTTTTGAGGATTCCCCAGATTTTATGAAGGCCATGACGTGTCCTGTCTAGTGTAAAAACAGAATATACACACAGACAGCATTCACCTAGACACTAGTGGAACCCCGTCGAAATCGACGGTTAATCTTGATGTTTTATGTAAATTTAGCTAACTGCGATAGATAGAGTGAAGTTATTAAAATCTTAGTTAAATGAGGAAGGATAAGCATAATAATAAGTATGACGATTGAGTTCCCTAAAAAAACGTGATTGATGAATTCGTTTAACACAATATTTCCTACCTTTTTATCGGCTTTAGGTTGCCCAAAAGGTTTTTTAGAATTCTTACAAATGTTTGTTCATGAGTTTGTTTCATGTCAAAGTCACTTTCACTACATGGGAGAAGGAGTTCATATAATTAGTCTATCATGTTACGGAAAGAGTCAATATTACTAACGACTAATTCCATCTGCTTTAGGAAAATCATTCAGATTGTATTCGGATTTATAAGTGAATCTTCATCTTTGGTTATAAACATACAGAATTTTATTAGCATATTAAATCAGTTTTTTATTCGATAGAAATATCTGATTATCCAGAAAGCAGTAACATTCTTACTTCGATCCAAGCAATTTTAACTCCTTCTCTTGTCACATGGACCCATGTATTTAATCATCCTGTACTTACTTGCTAATTGATTAACTTATGGGGTCGTTTTGACTTGGCCATATCGATTACATAAAGCTGTGCATGTATTTCGTGGATGGAATGAACCATAATTGTAGGAAATTTGACCACAAATGTTAAACATTTGCAGAACCAAATCCATAACCTAGTCCAGCCTTGGTACCTAACAAATGATGCAAATGCGATGAGATGTGATGGCACTGTTGTGTTTCAGAATTTGTTGTATGTAGTGAGGTTTAGAGGCGTTGTTCGACCTATCTAGATGTGTACATCAAAGTAAAAATCCTGTACACATTTTTTTAAATACCTGAATTAGTGAATTGACATTTATTTACCTACCGTACTTCACCAAAACCATAGATGAAACATACTCCGTAAATAGCCTATTCCAAAACTTGAACACAGCTCTCATTCTCAATGTACTCATCTATAACACAGTTTTCAACCCGATCATCGAAAACTTTTAAACCAATGAATGAATTTCTGGTCTTCTTTCTTGAATTCAATAATATATTCTTGAACCTTACAATATGTATAAGCTAACCCGATAAGGAATAATTATATGTTCCTTTGAAACTGATATGTCACACTGATTTCAAAATTTCAAATTTGTTAAGAGCAATAAAGCAAATATAGCATAGATTTTTGAACAAAACATTTAAAAGGTATCATAAATTCATCATTTTGTTGAAACCATAAAAACTTGCCATGCAGTGGAGAATCAGTTTTAAATCATAAATAATAATGTGTAAACATTTAATTTTGACAGTTTCAGTAGACTTTTGAATACAATTTTAATATTAACAGCTGGTTCATTAAAAGTAGTGTAAAATTATCCATATGGTCGTAATGTAAACAAAACTGCTGAGTGAACTTTAAAGGCCTCTGGGGCAGAGCCCCAAGGAAATTTACCTCGTTTCTCTTTTGAGGGCTCACCTACAGACCAATACCTTTCTTTAGACACCCCTACCAAGTTTCTACACTCAGCCGTTCTCTCAAATTAGCTGTGACAAAACCCCGTTTTTCTTCCATAAGAATAACATGGGATGGGAATTTAAAGGCCACTGGGGCAGAGCCCCGAAGGAATTTACCACGTTTCTCTTTTGATGGCTCATCTACAGACCAAGACCTTTCTTTAGACACCTCTACCAAGTTTCTACGCCCAGCCATTCTCTCAAATTAGCTGTCACAAAGAAAAACAGTTTCAAATTAATATATAGACTTGTGGAACCCCGTCGAAATCGACGGTTAATCTTGATGTTTTATGTAAATTTAGCTAACTGCGATAGATAGAGTGAAGTTATTAAAATCTTAGTTAAATGAGGAAGGATAAGCATAATAATAAGTATGACGATTGAGTTCCCTAAAAAAACGTGATTGATGAATTCGTTTAACACAATATTTCCTACCTTTTTATCGGCTTTAGGTTGCCCAAAAGGTTTTTTAGAATTCTTACAAATGTTTGTTCATGAGTTTGTTTCATGTCAAAGTCACTTTCACTACATGGGAGAAGGAGTTCATATAATTAGTCTATCATGTTACGGAAAGAGTCAATATTACTAACGACTAATTCCATCTGCTTTAGGAAAATCATTCAGATTGTATTCGGATTTATAAGTGAATCTTCATCTTTGGTTATAAACATACAGAATTTTATTAGCATATTAAATCAGTTTTTTTATTCGATAAAAATATCTGATTATCCAGAAAGCAGTAACATTCTTACTTCGATCCAAGCAATTTTAACTCCTTCTCTTGCCACATGGACCCATGTATTTAATCATCCTGTACTTACTTGCTAATTGATTAACTTATGGGGTCGTTTTGACTTGGCCATATCGATTACATAAAGCTGTGCATGTATTTCGTGGATGGAATGAACCATAATTGTAGGAAATTTGGCCACAAATCTTGAACATTTGCAGAACCAAATCCATAACCTAGTCCAGCCTTGGTACCTAACAAATGATGCAAATGCGATGAGATGTGATGGCACTGTTGTGTTTCAGAATTTGTTGTATGTAGTGAGGTTTAGAGGCGTTGTTCGACCTAGCTAGATGTGTACATCAAAGTAAAAACCATGTACACATTTTTTTTAATACCTGAATTGACATTAATTTATCTACCGTACTTCACCAAAACCATAGATGAAACATACTCCGTAGTAAACCTATTCCAAAACTTGAACACAGCTCTCATTCTCAATGTACTCATCTATGACACAATTTTCAACCCGATCATCGAAAACTTTTAAACCAATGAATGAATTTCTGGTCTTCTTTCTTGAATTCAATAATATTCTTGAACCTTACAATATGTATAAGCTAACCCGATAAGGAATAATTATATGTTCCTTTGAAACTGATATGTCACACTGATTTCAAAATTTCAAATTTGTTAAGAGCAATAAAGCATAGATTTTTGAACAAAACATTTAAAACGTATCATAAATTCATCATTTTGTTGAAACCATAAAAACTTGCCATGCAGTGGAGAATCAATTTTAAATCATAAATAATAATGTGTAAACATTTAATTTTGACAGTTTCAGTAGACCTTTAAATACAGTTTTAATATTAACAGCTGGTTCATTAAAAGTAGTGTAAAATTATCCATATGGTCGTAATGTAAACAAAACTGCTGAGTGAACTTTAAAGGCCTCTGGGGCAGAGCCCCAAGGAAATTTACCTCGTTTCTCTTTTGAGGGCTCACCTACAGACCAATACGTTTCTTTAGACACCCCTACCAAGTTTCTACACTCAGCCGTTCTCTCAAATTAGCTGTGACAAAACCCCGTTTTTCCTCCATAAGAATAACATGGGATGGGAATTTAAAGGCCACTGGGGCAGAGCCCCGAAGGAATTTACCACGTTTCTCTTTTGATGGCTCATCTACAGACCAAGACCTTTCTTTCGACACTTCTACCGAGTTTCTACGCCCAGCCGTTCTCTCAAATTAGCTGCCACAAAGAAAAACAGTTTCAAATTAATATAGATTCCTGCCCGTTACCTTTCCTTGTCATATCCGTATCCCAATTATGTGTAGTGAAACACAAGTTTTATACATATTGTGAATGAAACTGAGGAAGCGTTTCTAACGATTCTCTTTATGTCCCTACAATTGATTTATGTAATAATTGCATATTTATTTATGGAGTGGTATTGAAGGGGTCAAACAATAATGTATTGGCTTATATAGTTCTGATATTTGAGAGTAAGTCAATGATAACGTATTTTTGTTTTAGTCAACACTATACAAGCAGGATGATTACTTGTTGAGAGTGAGATGATGAGAGTAGGTGAGTGTGAGGGAAGAGGAGGACCCGGCCCACCAATGACGGAGGAACCTCCGCGCCGCGCTCCTGAAGTGAGGGTGTGACAACCCGTACACTATGGGGTTGTACACCACAGACGCCTGCAACATAAATTAAACATTTTCCCTTAGATTTGTCAGCCTTAAAGACCAGTTGTATACAATTTCAATGTTTTCCGTCCTGTTCTTGTAAAGAGAGTTTTTAGTTTTTGATATTAGTGATTTAACTTATTTTATGACAATTTAAACCATATAAAACGGTATTACAATTTAAACCATATAAAACGGTATGATTATTTATACCGTTAATAATTAAACCTGCCTTGTGGTTTTCTAACCAAACAGACAAGTAAAAATCGTAGAAATGGTCCAAAGTAAGAGAAAACAATTCGTCCACACTACGCACATTAAAATATGCTTCTGATTTTACTATAGGATTGTGCTATTCAAAGTCGATATGTGTAACAAAGAAAGTTAGAGACGGTTTTTGTTTAGACATATTTTGATTATAAAATACTACTAAAAGGAAATATAGCACATTTTGAGTTGAAACCTAAAACGCTTTTAGTATCGTTTTTAATATTGTAAGAAGATTGCATAGTTCAAATCAATGACTCTAAAACATGTTAAAATGAACAGTTTTATGTCATTTAATCTTCAATGACTGTTAAAGTTGAGTTAACGGTAACCACATGAACCATACCTTGGCAAAGAACGCAGGGAGAGCGGCTACCCAGGGAGTTATAAGCTTCTGGTCGCCAAACTGCGCAACCAACGTAACTAAGGCGTAAGGGGTCCAGGAGATGAGAAACAAGACGACCAACACTAAGATGATCTCTGCTGTGCGGAAAGACGAGGCGAGGGGATGTCCTACATCGACGTGCTCGCCACTGACCATGTTGGGTTGTAAAGTTACACTCTCTGCAAGAAAGTGCATTAGGTAGGCAGGTGTTTATTTATTAAAAAATAATATACAGAGTGTTTTTTTAACTTCCTTCTTTATTTATTTAAACCCTGTAATAGATAGAAATATGCTGTTTGCGGTAGTCGTTTATTGACGTAAGGGGCCCAATTGTTGTGCATTCAACGTTAAGTACTCTATAACGGATATACCTCCCTTTGAAGTTAGAACGTGTCTTCCCAACAAACAGATAATTTGTTCAAATAAAATCATTGATTAATCTGCACTGATGAAATCACACAAGTGTTTAACTACAAAAGATCCACCAATACGATTTTAATACTATTTAAAGGTTCTTCCAAAGGAAGAGATACCAGATAACATACTAATAATAACTCCGATGAGGTACTGTATGGGAAATATTTTATTCGTTGAATGACTGTACTGTATTTACTGTTATATTTTTTAGTCTTTGATGTTTTGATAATCATATTAGTTTTGTCTGCCACCTTTAACGCTAAATTAATAATTTACCATTTGTATAGATATCGTTTCTTTAATATTTCATACGACTATTGATAAGGCATAACAATATTTCTAACGTTTATAACATACTTTTTATAACACTAACAGCTGATGTTAGTGTTGCTAATGATTTGTTGTGGGTGAGGATGGAGGGATTTGTGATTTAGTTTGAAGAAGGTTGACTTAAAATCTTTTGCTCAGTAAAATTTAATAATTAGTAGTTTTGAAACTTCAAGATTGAAATCATGTATTTGAAAATGGTATTCGAAAATTTTGTAAGATTTCTTATATCAGCCTACACAAGATTGAAAACTAATCAAAGCCAAAATGGCGGTTTCCACCACTTACCAGATTTAAAAGCCATTAGCTTTTTGTTTCTAAAAGCGTTGGTGGATGTGTAACTATTTTATACAACAGATGTAAAGTAAAGATCAAAATGTTTCAATATCATGTCCTCTTCCCGTTGCAAAGCACGGGTACAACAGTTATATAAATAAAGCTACAAAATAATAAATAAAATAATAAAATAACTTATTGAGCACATACTTTACACTATTAGTGTACAGTTGTTCCTCATAACTAGTTTGATAATTGTACCATCTATCTTGGTAGAGACTCCTCTACTGTGTGCCAGTATGGTGGTCATGATGAAGACGTAGCAATATGTAATGACTCCGACAGGCACGATGAACCCGAAGACCAGGAGGTAGATGTAGTAGGCTCTGTTGGCCGGTGTTCTAGACGTGTAGTCCCAGGAGCAGGATGTGTGGAGGCCCTCCAGGACGTACCTTGACCAGCCCAGCAGGGGTGGCACGGAGAGCGCCAGACAGTAGACCCAGGTCAGCACACACACCTGCCACAGATCAGCGATAAACAACCAACAGGCTATCTATCATATCACTAATTCAACCCTCCTTCTTCACCCATCTTTGCCTTCAAATACGCACCATGATAAATCGGCAACGCATGGATCTCCTTGTGAAACAGCTGGAGTTGTAAAGGATAGTTCCATCTGGTTTATATACAGAGTGGTTTATTGTTTGCTATGAATACGAGTAGCTTTATGTCCTTCGTATTTGACTTATTTTGGAGCTATTTATTCGAAGAATGACAATGTATTGTACACATCATCTTCTCTGCTCTAGAACTATAACCAAACTGTAAAGCACAAAGAAATCGTAGAGTTGACCGTGAAATAAAAGAGAAACATTTATTCTAGATCAGCAAACTCTAAATGTTACCAGTCTGAAACAAAGGTCAAAAGCACCAGATTTTACAAATGGATAGCATGTTGACTTGCACTTTCAACATCCGTTTATCTTGAAACATGTAATGTTTGTTACCCCAGCGCAAAAATATAAAATGGCTTGGATTAATAATTACTGTGAAGGGATAAATATATTTTTACTAAACATTACAAATAATAATGAGCATGTGTACCTAATGATCGGTACACACATATAGTTAACACATTCACTACCGTGGCCCCAGCAAAACAAAGAGTATATTTTTGGGACGAAATAAAAGGAAACGGTTAATTTGAAGCAAATTACATGATGAAGATTGAAAGCTTTGTTATTAAATAAATCAGAACCATGCTAACTAATGATCAAGATACGTTATACCTTATTTGGTTTTGTAAGTGTATGTGTGTGAATTCCAGCACATTTGATAATAAACTTCATTTTAGATATAAAACGGTGCTAAAGATGTAATGGAAAGTAAATAAAAGATACGTCTTGTAACACTTAAAACATATATTTACGCTTATACTGTTACTCACAAGACGGTAAATATATAAAAAAAAAATGGTAAGTGGTGATCGATTTCGATTGGACACTCCAATCATACTCAGACCCAATAGGCGAACCCATTTTAAAATTAGAATGGGTCTATAATTAGATTCAGTTCAACATAATTTGGTTTGACTAACATCTGGCTTTCAACAATCACTGTAATGTTTACGATACAAGTTGTTTACATAAGTGTAGATCATCAAAACTAGATATTTTTACGATCTTACTAAATTTATTTTATTTGTTTCCTACCATAAAGGTTTTGAATTATCAGGAATGTGCAATTTTAAACTCTTAAACACTTGTATATAATTAAATATTTTCAAAAATATAATCTGCGTGAATATACGTTTATGCTATTCAAACTTGAGCTCATGCTAGGGATTGTTTTTACAAAATGTCGATGAACTCAAGTTAGGGTTACGGAGTTCATAGTTCTTTAAATTCGAATTACTGTTTTTAGGCATACCAAAATGTTAGTTGGTAAAGAAAATGACAACATTGTAGTAGGTATATTGGTCCCTAGAAAACGTCCCAAGTCCAAATAGTTGTCAGTAGAGACCAAAATCAATGTATACCATACCATAACTATACAAGTAGTAGTGTATGGCTAAGAAACTTGGGCACTGACCAAGGAATCAGAAAAAGATTTATTGTTGTGTTTGAGAAAAGAGTGATAAGAAAAATACATGGACCAACAAAAATAACGAAGGCTGGAGAATACTTAAGTACAAAAAGCTTAGAGAAATGTATAAAAACCCAGATATAGTGGCGCTGTCCAATAGGCTGAGATGTGCATACCATAGGTGGAGGAGAGAAGATACTTAAACTATTAACAGTGTATTTCGAGGAGTATCTATCACAATGTAGAATACGACTTGGAATACAGTACCTTGAATGAAGCTGAAAGACAGAAAATGAAAGACATCTGACTAGGGTCTATAGTATAGGAGGCAGGTGATATATGAAAATAGATGCGTGTTTTAGTCATCGATATATAACTACTATAGTAGTAGTACTACAAGTAGTAGTTATATATCGATGGTTTTAGTGAGGCAGAAAACCTCTTATGTTTTCAGTGACGACGGCGAGGTCGCGGTGGTCAGATAAGATAAGTAATAGATGCAATGGAAAGTATATAGATGCAGCCACTTATAAGCAGAGTATAAATCAGCCCTCAATCTCCTCAAACTAGTTACTCTTAAAATAATTCTATTTAAAATGCATTCCGTGTACTATAAATAGTTAAATATTAAATTATAAAAACATAATAAGAACATTGAAATTCTAAACTATTAATTTTGAAATGAGTTGATTAAATAGAAAAAGAACTAACTTGCATAAGAAAGAGACTTTGAAAACAAATGGAGAGAATCCCAGAGGGGGGATTTTGTTCTGACCCAGAATATAAACTCTTGGTTGTAAGAGCTTTCATTTGGCACCCCACATGTTTGCGTAACATTAACTGATCAAAAATCCCTTAAAAATTAATAGATTTTATTTTGTAATATTTTATGTTGCCTATGGTAAAAATAAATGTTGGTTTGGATGAAAATATATTTAAAAATGTGTGTTGCGACTGTAAAAGTCAGGTAAAATGTTGATGAACTCCAATCCATCAAAAGTTACAAACAACAAAGTGAACAACATGTAAATTCTTCGTCAGTCTGCTGTGCTGTATTTTAGAACCTTTAGTCAACTTGTTACATGTGCTACATGTGTTAGGCTACATGATGCTGGCAAAACAAAATATACACCATCATAACTCAGTCTTTACGCCACTATTAAAGTTATGTCAGCCAAGATTATATAGATAACAGATTTACTATGTAAGGTGTTCCTGGGAGTTGTTGGGTCTGTTTTTAGTTTTATTTACAGTAATCGGGTTCTGCTTTTTTGAAAAATCTGGAAATAAATAACTATATAAACAAAATATTTGTTAGTATCTATCAATTAATATCTCACATACAAAAATTTAAATTAAAATATATGCGAGATAAGGTCTATAAACATGAGTTTCTTAGTCTGTACGTAGCAAAACTATTGTCTAGGACGGAGCCTGGTGATTTGGTGAGCTTGGTTGGGCATTTTACCCTGAATTTGGTTATTTCATCTTGAACATGCGGAATTTTACTGTCATCTTGAAGATTTTTCTTTTTATCGGAAGGGATAAATCTTAAAACCTTTGACTGAAAATTTTTGATAATATTTATGCTGAGCCACGATTACACGAGGCCAGTAGACAGGCATGCAGTTTAAGCGTTTCAGCTACCACTGACTTAGCCCACTGGTCCCGTGTGTAAACGAGGCTTTTAAAGATATACTTGATGTTCCCATCATTAGATTACTTTACGTCTATCAGTAGAACTTTAATGTTTGTTTCAACATTGAAACTATGCATGCCAAAATTGGAAAAAGCACATTTTAATAAATTTGTTTTGATATGGTTATGTTCGATGATTGGCAATTCGATTAACCGTGACAGAATTCTTTATAAAAATACCACCCTCTACAGACTAAACTATAATTTCAATTTGTATTGTTGAATTTATACTACAATATTTCCATAAACAAGACATATTCATTCCCCACTCAAATAACAATAGATATAACGAATATTCAGGTTTGCTGCTACGGGGAAGAGAAAAAGTGTGTTTTAGCGAATTTCCATATAGGGAAGTAGCTATTACCGTATGTCTCATGGTAAGACCTAGGCCCGGGACCGATTTACTTTTTCATTTTGATGTCCCCAAAGGTCAAAAACACTATTCGTTCAAATTGGAGTATAACTTGAGTAATTTTTGCCCGATTTTGATAAAATTTGCTTTGAAGGTGTAAGGCGGGATAAGCTTGAATGAGTTTGAGAACCAGCATGATCAGACCATGGGAACGGGGTTTAACGGGGGGTTTAATAGAGTAAAAATGGGTTTTTTCATTTTTCCCCTTAAAACGCAAAATTTATAAATTTTTCTCCAGACCTTTTTAAAGAGCTTAAAAAAATATTTCGTATATCAAAGTGTTCTTGTATGGTTATTGGTTACGGAGAGAATTAAAAAAATTGTTCATTTAAAATTCCCATGTTACTCTTGCCGAGAATATTGTAAAATGTTGTAGTTGGCTTGCTTATGGATATATTTTAATGAAACTTGGCAAATTTACTTATTTTATACTAAGCTATTGATATTTTAATAAAAAAAACACACTTTATTAGTTTCCCTGTAGCAACAAACCTAGGTACTCGTTAAACATAAATGTTAATAGATTAATTGAAAATCAATTCAGGCAAATGGAAATTCGCTTAGTCGGCAGGTTTGCTGCAGCGGGGGTATTTTTACATAATGTTATTAGTAGGGATAAAATAAACAGATTTGCCAAATTTGATCAAAATGCTAAGATGTGTTTGATGAGTTATATGTTTTAAGAATCCTAACATGGTACATTCGGCACTATCCTTATAATTAGACCAATTCGTATATACCAAGGCAAAAATGTGGTTTGGATTCCACTATAAACTGTAGGTCCCTTATAGCTGTATGGGCTATTAATTAACAGCTGTGTCTAAGGAATGTCGGCCTTAGTCACTAACAAGACTACAAGATCGCACCAATCATCCTACACTCATCTCCATTCATACTTGGCTAAAAAATACCTACTTTGTATGGTCGCCATTTAATAAGAAAAGTATTAAAGAAAGGTACAAGCCAAAAACAATTAAAAAAACGTTTAAGTTAAGAACTTTATATAATCAAGACCTTACTCCTGGGACAATACTTGTTGAAAGACTGGGGAGATGGATTACAGAACCAAGTCTCTTACAAGATCTTTGTTGTTTCAAAGGTTTAGATTGAGAAAGAAAGAGTTGAAGGCGTAATGATTACTTATTTTTGAATTGTTTTAGTAACTTCGCAACTTATCAAAGGTCTTAACAGTTGTTAAAACTTATTGTTCGCCCAAGTTTCTGACATAAAGTAATTGGAGAATTTTATTCATGACATTCTCATCGTTCTGTGAATGAATGTATTGTTTAGCCAGAAGGTTAAGTTAATTACTAGGAACACAGTGAATTTTCCTGTTTCATAATTAATTGACTGTTAGAAATGAATATTTCAACTTCGGTTGAGTGAGTCACCTTTACCGACTTTCGTTTGCTCCACTAATGAAATTAAGGTTAGATGAGTTGTGAATTTCGTATCTCTGCTATATCTGCATTTGATTACTCGTAAAAATGCATCAATTTTCAGTTATTATAGTATATTTCATAGAAAGTGAGTCATTATGGGTGTCACAAAAAAGTGTGATGGGCTATACAGGACCTAATTCTACATGCAAAAATAAGTCAAAAATGAAGAATAAATTTTGTTGGATTTCGGCTTAGTTTAGCCGTAATCCGCCATTTTGTTTTTTGGGGAAAATATTTATTATTTCAAAATCCCTTTGAGATATTTTTACGAAACTTGGCAAAATTTTTTACACTATAGTAAGTAACATTTTATAAAAAAAATTATTATTTTAACTTTCCAAATTTCAAAATGGTGGCCGTTTGAATTTTGTAATGCCAAATTTCATGAAAACCGGTACCTAAATCAAAATTTTGTAAGAGACAAAAGTTTTAGTATTTATTATGACAAATCCAACAAAACAAAAATGAATAAAATCGGCTCATAAATAAAGAAGCTGTGTTTATTTTAGTAATTTAGACTGAAATTACTTAATACGTTACATAAATTATTACATTACATTTAATACATTTTAATATTAATAATTTCAGTCTAAATTACTAAAATAAACACAGCTTCTTTATTTATGAGCCGATTTTATTCATTTTTGTTTTGTTGGATTTGTCATAATAAATACTAAAACTTTTGTCTCTTACAAAATTTTGATTTAGGTACCGGTTTTCATGAAATTTGGCATTAAAAAATTCAAACGGCCGCCATTTTGAAATTTGGAAAGTTAAAACAATAATTTTTTTTATAAAATGTTACTTACTAAAGTGTAAACAATTTTGCCAAGTTTCGTAAAAATATCTCAAAGGGATTTAGAAATAATAAATATTTTCCCCAAAAAACAAAATGGCGGATTACGGCTAAACTAAGCCGAAATCCAAAAAAATTTATTCTTCATTTTTGACTTATTTTTGCATGTAGAATTAGGTCCTGTATAGCCCATCACACTTTTTTGTGACACCCTGTATATTTGAGACCATATGTTTGAAGTGTCATATTTATCGAGCACTTTAAATATGGTGGAAAATTTCTATGGACCAACTTTCACATGTTACTTTTCGCTAAACTACAAATATATTTTTTACTAAAACAGACATTCTACATTTCTTTATTACAGTTAGGAATAATAAAAACTCATAGAATTTTTTAGGTCATGCTTTCAATTTAACGTAAATATTTACATTGTTTGTACAGTTTTGGTTGCAGCAAATTGAAACAATTGACAAAAAAATAACAAATCTTTGTTTGTTTACGTCGGCAAAATCCAAAAGATAGCAATTACTGTCACATGGTAAATAGTTTAACTAAGACTCGCATGTAAAACAGTATCTCGCCCCGAAATGGGGCTTTCTTGACGAACGAGTATTGAACGATACATTTCACTATAAAAAAACTACTTCATCAAACTAAAAAAAAATAAAAATAAAACTTCTGTTGTAATTTTTTTGATGTCAGGCAAAGTATTGTTTGTGTTGCGAAAGTAATGTTTATGTCAGGAAGAGTCAGCTGATCACTATTTGTTTTTGGGGTACGGAAATTGACGATTTTCGAAGATCTCAGCTGTATGGAAATGAGCTATTTTCAAATACAGAGTGATGAAAACATTCTTTTCCGTGATAAACAATGTAACGATGAATTTTGGCAGGTGATAAACATGCAAAGAAAACAGGTCGAAAATATTATTTTCATACCAAGCTACACATTAAAACACTATTGTGGTAGCGGTAGCTTATTATTCACCTTCTGCTCATGTCACATTATGAGCTTAACTTCAAATTTAAATCTAAAATTTTTAACTTTAATCAGTAAAGAAGTGTTGTTTGATTTAGTTTAATGTAGGCTAGTAGTTAGTTTGAATCGTAAACAGTAGTAGGTTGACTTTGGCGGAGTATGTTCAACCTTAGATGGAAGTAGACATTCCTATGTTAAAGCTGCAGCCAGTTTTAGAACACAAGTGTAGCCTACGTCGAGTTGAGCCCCCGACAGAGAGCGATGATGCCAAACTCACCTTATTGGATGAAAGAGTGTTTCATTGTAAACTATAGCATTGTTATGTCTTATCCAGCTTTACAGTTTTCTAAAAATAAGAGGAAAATTTCTAATTTTACAACATCTTACTCTATGAGATTCAACTCTACTCCTTTCAACATAACATTCGCCACAGACAATCCACAGATGTTTATAGTTTATGGATTGTATAGGCCTACTGAGTTACGTTACGGAGCTTGGTGCTTACACTCTTGGAGCTATACTGCGTAATCTTCCAACTCTTAGACAGTGGTCTGCTTGTGATGACGAGGTACCTCTCTACAGCAATGGCTGCCAGAGTGACGATGGACAGTAGGCCGAAGTGGCCGACCCCGGCGGCGTACAACTCACACCCTGCACAACACCACCAACAATAATAATAATTAGCTACATAGTTACAGTAACCACTTAAATATTACATTTAAATAATTTATGTCAAAAGTTGTTTTTACCTGCGGGTTGTTATAATCAAGATCGAACAGTCAACATTAAGTTTTGTATTCAATCTATCTATACTATAATATAAAAATCTAATAGTGTCTGTCTGTATGTGTGTTACTAATAGGTGCAAAAACTACTAAACCAACTGGGCTTAAATTTTACAAAATATACTTACCATACCAAGGACCATTATAGGACTATTCACATTTCGATATTGACCGTAGGCTTTGCCCCTTTGGCTTTAAAAGCTTTGAGGTGAACATTTTAAAAGTAAATATTGATAGGTCTCCATGGCTGCGATGAGAACACTAACAATGTTTATTTACATTTGCTTTGACATTTAAATGTAAACAAGAAGATCTGCTAAACTGCATATATCACAATTTCAGACAGCTGATAAAAATAAATGAAATATAATATTTTCCATAACTATGAGGTAGGTTTATTTTAATCTAAACTTTTATCATGGTTTATTTATTCTAAAACTATGTCAATGATTATACAGAAAAAAAACTAGATTCTATAACCGTTGCTGTATCAACTCCGGCTCTGCTTTGGATTTTTTAAAGCGTCTAAGTTATGAAAATAATGTTATTGACATGTTTTCATGGAAACAGTATGCAAATTACAATGTATAGATGTTTTGTATGAATTTGGAGGCTACTTTAAATGAATCCTAACTACTTAACATGTGTTAGATTAACTTATTATAACTTGCTAATCACATAGTTTTTTATATGTATATTTAGGTAAATTAAGCTATTGTGCTTTGCTAAACCTATGCTTTAATTTAACCAAAGAATATCATCAATAACTAAATTGTACGTCGTTGATTTTTGTTTTCTAAAATCTGTTGTATATGTGTAACTATATTTAATTATCAAATGGTAATACAAAATACTCTTATTTTACCTTAACATAGCTTTCAGTTCATATTTACTTTTTTTGATACTTTTATTATTTGTGTTTTGCCACACCACTGATTAAATTAAACCAAGGATTAATCATAAAACTAAGCAGTACACAGTGTTCTTTTGTTTCTAAAATTAATGAAATATCTGTTACTATGTTTACTTAATGGTAAGTGTAAAAATGTAAAGGCAATGGACGATGGAACTGATTAAAAAAACTGGTTAAGGATGTTTGTTAATATTTTTGTAGAGTAGAATCAGAGATGCAATGAAACATATACTGTAATTGCTATTACATTTTTTAGTCCTTGATGCTTTGATAATCATATTAGTTTTGTCTGCTGTCTTAAATGCTAAATTATTTGTTTAGAATTTTTTATAGTAACTCTAGATATAGTTTCTTTAATATTTAAAAAGACTGTATTGATAAGGAACAGCAATATTTCTAAAGCTTATAACAGCTGACTTATTTTTGCTAATGATTTGTTGTGATTGAAGAAACTGAAGATGGAAGAACTTTTGATTTTATATAAAGAAGAGTGAAATTTAAAAGAAATTTCATTTTTAGTATTTTTGCAACTTCCAAATTGAAATTTAAAATGTCAATATAATAAAAGATATGTTATTAAGGGAGATGAAGTAACTCCCTAATAAGAGAGATAAGTAACCATTATAGTAAATCATGTATGTTAAAGTTTTATTCAAAGATTTGGTCAGTTTTTATCATATCAGCCTACACCATCGATGTATAATAACTCTAAATTATACATCGATCGGGAGTTATTATACATCGATGGCCTACACAAGATTTAAAATTAATCAAAACCAAAATGGTGGTATCCACTACTTACCAGATTTAAAAGTCATAACTTAAACGTTTCTATTAAGGCTATAAAAGTTGAATTTTGTTTCTAAAAGCGTTGGCGGATGTGTAACTATTATATGCAACAGATGTAAAGATTGAAATGTTTTTATTTTGTGTCCTCTTCCCGTTGCAAAGCACGGGTAGAACAGCTAGTATGATATATTTGTTTCCAAATACAATTACAATACAATAAATACCCAAGTAGCACACATCGTTGGCCCAACGTTGGGAAATGGTCGGCACGGTTGGGAAATGGTTGGCAGAAATTTTAACGATTTGCCAACGTTGGCCCAACGGAAACTGGTATTCGTTGGCCCTACAAAGGAAAGAATCGTTGGGCCTTCGTTGGGTTTAAGTATAAAACATTCTAAAACGAATTTTAACAAATTGATTTATTTAAAAGTACATAAATGTTATGGCAGCAGAATATAAGACAAATATTGTAAAAATTTGGATCAATAATGAATGTAGTCAGATGATATTGTGATACTAGATACAGTGGGGAACACCTGCTTAACATATAATAATTATTATAATTATTTTTTTATATATTCTTTAACCTATTTAAGCAAGTTTTTAATATTTATAGAGAAAAGATTAATTAATTATATAACAATCAATTATAACAGTAGCCTACTAATCTAATGGTAATTAAATAATCTATATTCAAATACTAGTATCCTCTTCAACTACCAGAAAAACAATTCAACTACTTTAGGCTTAAACAGATTAACAGAATCATATTATACTGTAGCATCAAAAATATTTAAAGTATTAATTGTGACCATTGCACCTGTCGGCTACTCTTTCACCACTTGAAAACACTCATATTCAATAAGCACAGTTAGCTCAGAGGTAAGGCGTGAGGTTCACATGTCGAAGGTACCGGGTTCAAGACCTGTCCCGGGCAAAATATTTTATTTAGTTTTATTTTCAAAATAAGTTTGTATTAACTATTTAATCAATTTACTCAACTCATAATTATGCTTTGCATACAAAATCTTTATTATTTTGTGTTTTTTATGTTTATGCCCAATGGGATGTTTGGCCCTTCCGCAAAAATTGGTTGGTTGGCCAACCGTAAGACTGAGTGCCAAAACATACCGTTGGCCAACGATCGACAGAAACGTTGGGCCAACGATTTGCCAACGATTTTTGCTACTTGGGTATAAATAATCTCGTCCTCAGTGACACACGTACAACGAATTTTCACTGCAATTTGTGTGTTAGGTAGAGCGATTTCAAGTATAAGTAATAAACTAAATGTTAACCTTAGCGTGGTAAATTAACCTGCCTGAAGTGGCAACAGTAAACTATATTTGTTTATAAAAAAATCACTTGTTTTCGCTTTGCGTAAAAACGATTTCTGTAAAAATCGTCACTCGTCTTTGTCTTTTATAACACTGTAGGTACTTGCATTAATATTAATACGCAAGATTAAGGGCTGAGTAATTTCAATTTGTATTTACCAATAGCTATATAGAGTATTCTCTCCAAATTAAATAAATAAATCGTATAACTAAAAATAATAAATTTTAACTTCATTTGCCCTCCAATTGGATGTTGAAATACTTCAAAATAGCGATTTGACGAAGAAAACATTAGAGTGCACTGAATGGTAGCACCAATACCAAACGCACTTCAATCCACAACTCCTGTGGGATTTCACCCCTTGCCTTTCTCATGTTTTTAATTTAGCACCTACCACTAAGCTGTCATTTTAATTACTTTGAGTTAATAGTTATTTGTGCGTCAAGTAGCACTTTGCGCTCGTGTTACACATATTTTCCTGCAATTACCACAAAGCAATAATTTATATTATTCTCCTTTCAAAAACTAAATAACACGTTTTAGGTTGGGTTAAATCCAAGCGTTAACAAAAGTAGAATGTTAACACAAAACAACGTGTTAAGTCGTAGTATCAATCATTGAAATGAATGGATTAAATTCTCCAATCTCGGATTAAACATTTATGAGATGCATGCCTTCAAGATGGCGCTTGTTGCTGAGTTTTGTTGTTCACACTGTCTCGGTTTGGTTGGACTTGCCAGGTTATAGTGAAGACGGCGTCGTCCTGATGTTGTTGGCAACAAATATATCAAAACTGACATCCAGCATATCAACTTGACAAGAGAAAAATAACTTAGTATTTAGTACCTATTTAAAAATAATTGATAATGTTTCAAAATTACTTTGAACACACAGTTTTTACGTGCAATAATTAATCGTTGATAACGGTGAGTCCATCAATCAACCATGGCCAACACAAGGAGATGAATCCATGTTGGAACCAATGCCTGATCACGTTTACTATCACATTTAGCACTGTAGGCCTAAAAATATACAATTTTTGAATTTTATAGAAACTGAAAGGGCCAAAATTTAATCGTCTATAAATAAAATTAACGATTTGTCTGTACATTGCTTAGAATCAGAAATGTTTCGGTTATTTTTTCGTTTCATGCGATCATAAGCCTAAACACGAGTTATCTCAATTTCTGTCTGACTGTCTGTCTGTGACGCTCAAGATGACAATGCCACACCATCGATGTAATACATCGATGTGCCACACCGAGCTCTCTACCGCGGCTGGAGCGCACTTTGAAAAATCTGCAGTTTTGTCTAGCGCATGCGCAAAGGTGCATCTTGAATGGGCAAGCCATTTTAAGTTTATAAGTAATACAGTATCAAATAAAATGTAGTTTGTTGATGTTTGTTGTATTTTACTTTCACTACACTACTATGTAATCAATTGTTTTCGTGATATGTTTATCACTAGGAAAAAATCCATGATTGTTTACGGTGAAAATGTAATGTTTCCTGTCAATTTTTATATCGTTGACGTAAACAATAGTTATTTGTGTAACTAGTGAGCAAAGTGGCACTTTGCTGCACACGAGGTTTACAAGGATCGGAATGATCTCGAGTGCAGCAAAAGCCTTTTGCACTCGTGTTACACATTATATTTTTCCTACAGTCACTATAAAGCATATAACTAATTAGTCTTTCAAACTCTATACAACACGTTTTTAGGTTTAGCTGGCAACACAAATAGGTGCCCTAGAGAAAGTAGTCACCGGTCCGTATCACACTCCACTATTTTTTCCTCGGCAAGCAATGTGCTCCGCGACTTGAGA